GCAGTTTCAAGATTACTAATGTTTATATTCCAATCATTTGACTATTCTTCATCAAGGCCTGGTACCTTTTGCATATGAGATTCAGCTGGCAATAGATTTTCCTTACCTCAATGGACACTTAGGCCAGTGTTGGACACTTTGGCCAGTGGTGGATCACTAATGGATTCAGGAGTACCCCAAAACTGTAAACCTTTTCAAAGTTTGTTGAAAAAACAAGTAGCAAGTGGTAAATGATGAGATGATCTGATTTTTTTTTTAAGAAAAGACAAGAATTCTGGGAATAGAGAACAACATTATTAAAGATAAATTGGCCCATCAAATGAAGTCACAGCCCTGAGTTTGGTTGACCTGAGCAAGTCTGTTGATCATCTTGGAGACCTTTCAATAAAAGGGTCACCAAAAATTGAAGGCAAGTTAATAGCAAACAATGAAACAAACAAGAATGATACCATATGTCACTTCTCTCAAATGCCATTTAATATCAAAATGCTGTCAGTCTTTTGTATCCATCTATTGTTCATCCATGGATTCAAAGAATCATAGAGTTGGAAGAAGCAAAATTGGCCATCTAGACCAACCCCCTGCCATGCAGGAAAAGCACAATCAAAGTGCTCCAGACAGTTGGCCCTCCAGCCTCTGTTTAAAAGTCTCCAAGGAAGGATCTTCAACCACACTTCGAGGCAGAGAGTTCCACTGCTGAACAGCTCCTACAATCAGGAGGTTTGTCCTGATGTTGAGGTCGAATTTGAATTTGAACCCATTGCTCTGAGTCCTCGTTTCCAGGGTAGCAGAAAACAAGCTTTCTCTCTCCTCCCTATGACTTCCCCTCACATATTTTTACATGGCTATCATGTCTTCTCTCAACCTTCTCTTTTGAAGGCTAATCATCCAGTTTTTTAAGCTGCTCCCCATAGGGCATGGTCTCCAGACCCTTGGTCATTTTAGTTGCCCTCCTCAAATATATCATTTTAGTTGCCCTCCCAGCACCACCTAGCTGCCTTTGCACTACTGGGGGAAAGCATTGGATGAGCAAATACTGCTATTGCTTTCCCAAATATTCAACGAGTACTTAATGTTGACATAAGTCTCAACTTTTCCAGTGTAAGCCAAGGATCATTGCAGTTCGTTACACTTCCATTCCTTCCATTCTAGTTTTTGCAGTGTTTCTTGTAGCAGCTTGGAGAAAACCACAAGAACCACATGATCTCTAAACCTTTCATTTTATCAAGAGCAACATAACACTTACTTTAATTCCACAGTGCTTCTATGCAATTAATAGCAGCATTACACTGCTTAGCATATTTTGTATCAAAGCAAACACAGGGAAAGCACTTTTGGGATTAGTTTGTAAAATCACTCTGTTTCGATGTGTGGAAGTATTTTTTCCTTGACAAAAATACTAATTAGCACTCTCTATTGGAATTTCAGATTTGTAACCAACAGATTTAGATAATGAGAGTCAAGGTTGCAAAATTTCTAAAATTGGCAATTTAACTTTTTTTTAAGGATCATTAATATTCACAATATTTCTAAATCCTAATATACTTTCCACCAAAAACACAGTAATATTACAGATTGCAAGGCTCAGCCAGTGGTGGGGAAAAACTTTTTTGAACAAGTGTTATTAAAGAAGCATTGAAAGCACAGAGTTGGAAGGGACCATAAGGGCCGTTTAGTCCAACCCCATTCTGCCATGCAGGAATACACAATCAAAGCATTACTGACTGATGGTCATTCAACTTCTGTTTAAAAGACTCCAAATAAGAAGACTCTACCATACTCTGATCGTTGATGACTGACATATCTCATTCTCAAGAAAACATGACAAGATGCATGGGGAAATATCTCCACTACCACAACCATGGAATCATTTCTTCCTGTGGTGCCCTGTTCCAATGTTTCTTTAAAAACATTAGGTGTTCCTGAAGAGAGGAAGCAGGTTCATCACTGCAGAGGAAATGGCCAGAACCATCACCTTCTTTTCCTCATTGCTGCCTCTTTAGTCTATGGATAAGAGCTGCAAAGATGTCAGGCTATATTGAAATAGAAGTAAAGCCAATTGGAGCATGAGATTGTGAGTGTGGAGTTTGCTCTGCTGCTGTCCACAAGAAAGTGGAGAATGGCCAAAGGAGGCTTATGCCACCATACGTCAGTAAAAGATTTTGGCTGCAAATTCTGATGTAATTGGTGTGATACAGAATGTTAGCCAAGGACAGCTCTTTTACAGCCTTTAACATTTCACAGATGAAAACAGGGATACATACAGACAAGCAACATTGGAGTATGGTTAAGATGGCATATGTTGTTAATGGGAAAGAACACATAGACTAAGAGAGACTGCAGCAGTTTGCTTTAGTCTGAGCCTACTACAGAGAAGGGAAAGACCCAGCTACTCGCAGAGTTGAGTATAAATCCTTCACATTTAGCTCAGTTTGAGCAATGAAAGTAACAAACTCATCACAAAATGTGTTCAAAACAAAGTAGTGTTCTTATCTTTATCTTAGGATGGCATTACACCAAGAAAGACAACATGCTTTTTGTGGTTAGCATCATACTCAATAAATCAATATTAAAAAATATAGCACAGGCACAAAAAACATGGAAATGAATGGATGGGGAAAAGGGAGAATTATTTTTTTGAGGGACAAATAAGCAAACATCGAGTTCAGCCTCCTCCTCCCTTTAGCAGGACATACCAATTCACCTATAGGGCTGGTCCTTGGAAATTCCAGAAAAGCCCACGGTAAGCTTTTTTTTATTGGTTGGCTTCAAGATAGGTAGAGAGAGCCAGCATAGTTCAGTGGTTTGAGTGTTGGACTAGGATGCTGGAGACCAGGGTTCAAATCCCTGCTTTGTAATGAAACCTAACTAGTAATCTTGGCCATGCCACACTGTCTTATCCTTAGAGGAAAGCAATGGCAAGCCTCTTCTGGAGCATCTTGCCAAACAAATCTTATGATAGATTCATCCTTGAGTCACTATAGCTTGGAAATAATTTGAAGGAACACAATTACAACATTATACTCACTGCAGACAAACACCATCTCAACCTGGTCCTTCTTCTATCTGACCAAACAAATGTGTCCATCTCACCTATGGCTGGCCTTAGGAACATTCCAGAAGAGGCAAAGTAATGTTTTGGGTAGTTTTCACGATAAGGGGTTTGAGCGTTGGGCTAGCACTTTGGAGACTGTAATTCCAATCCCTGCTTGACCATGCAATTCAGTTGATGACCCTGGCTAAGTGACACTCTCTTATCTTCTCAGGAAGGCCATGGCAAATTTCTTCTTTACAATCCTTGTCAAATGAAACTTCTCAATAAATTCACTGTCGGGTTGCTATAGCTCAGAAACCACTTGAAGGCACACAACAACAACAAAAATTACTGAAGACAAACACTAATTTCAGTCTGGCCTTCTTCCATCTGCAAAGTTACCTGTGACTGGCTCCATGAATGCTCCTGGAGAGACTAAGGCAAACATTTTTTGGCGTGGTAGTGGTTAGATCTCAAATAAAGTGGGAGAACCAGCCAAGTGTTTGAGTATTGGACTAGCACTCTGGAGCCCAGTGTTGAAATCCCCTCTTGGGCTGGAAACCCAAGTTCAGCCTGGTTTTTCTTCCTGCTGGCCATGCAAGTGTGTCTACCTTACCTAAGGCTGGTCCTGGGAACACCCCAGAAGAGGTGAGGCAGATGCTTTTTTAGATAACAACAACAACTTTATTCTTGTACCCTGCCTCCATCTCCCTGAAGAGACTTCGGGGAGGCTTACATATGGCACAAAGTAAACACACAGTACAATACAATAAAGTAAAACATATAGAAAATAAAAACAATTTAAAATGCAAAACAATGCCTAATAACCTATGGGGACAACTATCATAAAACATGGCCAGTCTGTAGACAAGACAAGGGAATGGGATAGTGCAAACTGCAGCTAAGGAACAAGGGCATGGGATGAAAGTGCAGTGCTATGTCATTGATTGTGGACCATTGGGGGTAGACATTCTCAAAGGCTTGTTTAAACATCCAAGTCTTCAGATCCATATGGAAGGAGGACAGTTGGGGGCGGGGGGGGGGGGTGTCTGCCAAATCTCATTTTGGAGGGAGTTTCAAAACCGGGGGGGCACTACCAAAGAGGTCTTCTCCCTCGTCCCCACAAACCACACTTGTGATGGTGGTGGGACTGAGAGAAGGGCCTCCCCAGTAGATCTTAACGCTTGCACAGGTACATAGCGGGAGATGAGGTCATGAAGATAGACAGGGCTCCAACCGATTAGGGCAGTGGTTCTCAACCTGGGGTCCCCAGATGTTTTTGGCCTTCAACTCCCAGAAATCCAAACAGCTAGTAAACTGGCTGGGATTTCTGGGAGTTGTAGGCCAAAAACATCTGGGGACCCCAGGTTGAGAACCACTGGATTAGGGCATTATAGGAAATACCTGCACTTAGAATTGAAGGGGTTTGAGCCATGGGCTAGCACTTTGGAGACTGTAGTTCCAATCCCTGCTTGGCCATGCAATTCACTTGAAATAACTTGCACCTTGAATTGAATAGATCTCAGGAAAGGTGGTGAAAGCCAGCTTGGGGTAGTGCTTTGAGTGCTGGGGCTTTGAATCCCTACTGGGGCATGAAGCCTACCAAACTCAGCCTGGATCTTCTTCCAGCCGGCCACCCAAGTGTGTCTACCCCAGCTATGGCTGTGGGGTTGCTTTCAAGGTGGGTGGGAGAACCCTTTCCCCACCGTCTTCCTCCTCCTCTTCCTCCTCCCCTTAGTGCAATCCAGAGCCCCTCTTTCTTTCTTTTTTTAACCCCCAGTGCCCTTGCCCTGCCCAGAGGTGCCTCTTGGCCGCGGTGCTGGGGAAGAAACCTGAAGCGGAGGCTCCCCCTGAACCCGCAGCTGCACCTGGCTCCGTGGCAGGCTAGGCACGCCCCTCCCGCCCCTTTCCCTTCCCCTTCCCCGCGCAACCGCGTCAGTGGCTCCAGGGCTGCTGTTGGGGTGCGGGGAGGGTAGAGGAGGCATTGCCCCCTCCCTGGTGTTTCCTCGGGGAGAGATGTAGCCGCCGGGAAGCAAGCAAGCAAGCAAGCAAGCGCGGGAGAGCCGGGGCGCCCTCCTCCCTCCTCCTCCTCCTCCTCCTCCTCTCCTCCTCCTGCGCCTCTGTCCCGCTCCAGCTGTGAGGCTCCTGCAGGCAGAGKCAGACGGAGATGGACTCGGAGGGTGAGTCTGAAAAAGGCGATTCCAGGAAGGGGGAGAAGGCTTTTTCAGCGGAGGAAAAAGGAAGGGAAGGGAAGAGCGGCAGACCCCGTCCTGGGCTCAAGTTCCCCCMTGATCCCCCTTCCTTTCCTTTCCTTTCCTTTCCTTCCCTCCCCTCCTCCTCCTTCTCCTCCTTGTCTGCTTCCAAGGAGGCTTTTCTGCATGTGCTTCTCATCGGCTGGCGCCTCGGGGAAGGAACTTTTCCTTGGAAGTTGCACACTGCCAGCTCGGGCTGCGCGGAAGCCAAAGCACCTCATGGTCTCCCCCCCCCCCCCTCCTCCCCTCCCCCTCCTCCTTATGCTTTCCGAAAAGATTGGGGAGCGGGGAAGTGTCGCCTGGGGAGGAGGAGTGTGCTGCCGTGGCTTGCTTTTCTTTCTTTCTTTCTTTCTTTCTTTCTTTCTTTCTTTCTTTCTTTCTCTCTCTCTCCCTCTGCAAAGGGTTTCAGACTTTTGAGAGCAGCCCCTGGCTTGTCGCGCTCATAAATCCAGAGACCCCGTATTTCACTTAATGGAGGCCAAATGGTTTATTCTGGCTCAGCCTGGGATGGAAACACCTTGCTTGCTTGAAATGTTGGACGTTTCAAAGAAGAGCGGGCAGGGATTTCTCTTGGGGGGAATTTGGCACCGTCAACTGCTGCATTCTTCCTGCGGTTGGAAACCCCTGGATTGGCCGGCCTGTGAAGGAGGGTTGGGGCAGATTCACGGTCTCACTGATATTTTACCTTTCGGAAAAGGTGGTCTTGGAGGAAAACCCTGTCCCTGCCTCATCCCTGCCTCATCCCTGCCTCTTGTCCAGGAGTTCAGAATAGGTTTGCTAGGTTTCTTAAGCAAACAAACTGGTGCTCTGCTTTCAACCATGCCCTGCCAGGTGTGTGGAAAAGTTAACAAGGCAGGATGGCACTTCATGCTTACTTTTTGTTATTTGTAGTGTGCATATATGTCTTCAAGTCGCCCATTGATTTTCTTAGGCAAGGAATATTCAGAGATGGTTTTGCCAATTCCTTCCTCTGAAATGGTTTGGTTATTTGGGGTGCTGATTCAGAAAATTGCATTGGATAGACCACATCAGCTCTCAGTTCTGATACAGAACACGTGCCATCCAGTAGTCACCATCTGCTTGCTCACAGAAAACCGTACTTAATAATGTAGAGCTAATGTGGTTTATCCAATGCAAGTTTTTGAATCTGCACCCCAAATAACCCCTGGAACAGACCTAAAAACAAAGATACCAAGGTGCCCCTGCTTCCAGGCACCACATGGACTGGCTCTGCGCAGGAGGAGGGAGGAGGAGGAGAAGCAGTGGTCACACCTTTTGTGGGTAGTCAGCTTTTCCCTTCCCAATATTCCTGTTGCCTCAGCACTATAAGAGGATTGCTCTTGTTGCAATTGGGTAGTAAAAGTTAGGCCGCAAACCATATTTTAGTTCTTGGGGACCACTGGTGGTCCACAGACCATAGGTTGGGGACCACTGCACTTAGAGCATGGATCCACTTTAAATCCAGTTTCTGCCTCCTGCAGAATTCTGGGGTTTGTAGTTTAGGGAGGGGCCTTTATACTGCTCAGCCAGACAGGTCCTGGGCCTCACTAAACTACAAACCCCAGCATTCTGCAGAAGGCAGAAACCGGATTTAAAGTGGATCCATGCTCTAGTGTGATGAGGCAGCGACAAATGTAGGGTCTTGGTGGTGGGTTCAAGACCTATTCTGGATCCATATGTTCTTTCGCAATGAGGACATCGATTTCCAGATGGAAGGCAGTCCTGACAAAGGTTACCTAGACATGCTTTCCTCTTGACACATTTAGGTATGAATAGTGAAAGTTATGCACAGTTAGAGAAAACTAGTGAAAACTAGTTTAAATGTATTTTTTAAAATAAAAAATCATAATTTTCTTTCTTGCTCGAATTCTTATAGTTTCCTTTTTTCAAGCTTCCAGTGCTTTCTTGGACAGAGACAGTATTGTTACTGTGTGCCTTCAAGCCTTATGGCAACCCTTATGGGACCCTATCATGGGGTTTTTCTGGCAAAGTTTGTTCAGAGTTGGGTTGCTTTTGCTTTCCTCTGAGGCTTAGAGAATATGATGCCCAAGGTCATTCCATCGATTTTCATGGCTAAACGGAGATTTGAATTCTGGTCCCTAGCAACATAGTCCAATGCTGGCTTTCAGACCACACTGGCTCTCCCTGCTGTGGGTTTGTGACTGGTGCCAAATATTTGTTGGAGGCTAATAAACACTATGTAATGTGATTTTTGTTCCTGGATTATAAATGTAATTTCCTAATTAGTTCTATCATAAAAAACAGGAGAAAAATTATTAAACTGCAAAACTTTGTTTTTGTGGGACATGCTGCAGCACATTTTGCTATAGGTTTTCAGTGAATATCTCAGTGTCACAACCGATTCAACATAATTTGTGGCAGCCACAAAAATGAAGCTTCTGGAGTATAACAACCACTTTCAAAGTACGTACTGCACAATTAAACAGGAAATAACACTGTATTGTCAAAGGCCTTAATGCCTGGAATCACTGGGTTGTTCTAGGGTTTTTGGGCTTGTATGGCCATGTTCTAGAAGCATTCTCTCCTGATGTTTCACCTGCATCTGTGGCAAGCATTCTCAGAGTTTTGAGGTCCTCAGCTCTGAGGAGGCTTGCCACAAATGCAGGCAAAACATCAGGAGATAATGCTTCTAGTACATGGCCATACAGCCCAAAAAAACCTACAACAACCCAGGAAATAACACTTTCAAACCAGGAACAGAACATTTTCCAAATTTAGTTACATACATTCCTCCTTTCCATTTCCACTTTACAACACATGTCCTAGGTCCATTGGTAATGGCCTGTAGGTGAGTCCTTGTTAACAACAGAAGACCTCTGAGTCCTGCTGAAACCTTGCCAGTTCCATTCTGTGGTGGATTTGGCAGACGAATGCAGCTGCTGCTCTCAATTATTGTACAGTGGGAATGTACACCAAGTGGCTATTGCATCTTTTTCTTTGAAGCATCTCACGAGGGTTTGAAGCCTGAACCAGCTTCTAAAGATTTCGTCAGACCTGTAGGGTTAAAGTTACATTAAAGACCAAGCACTTATTATTCTCTTAGAAAGATCATAAGTGCTTAGTATGAAACAGGACCCTTCCACCTGCCCCCCAATCCCCCCCCCCCCACAGCTGCCTTCTTAGTTTTCATGAACATAACAGTTAGTTTGGTTAATAGGCAGGCACCAACCAAATGTTAACAGTGAAAACACACAATGACGCTGCTCTTGTGTCCTGTTAGTTTTGGGCTGAGGATAAAAATATGAAAGGTATGGATTTGGACCAGTAGGTTAAGCATCAGCCATAATGTTGATTTTCTCTCTCCCTGTTCTTTTGTTTTAAATAAAAACAGCGGAGAATGTCTTGACAATCTTACCTAACATTAAGCCTGAAGTTTATTATGTGAGTTTGACATTAAACTTCTGTACAACTCAATACTTTTGCTATGTGAATTACGGTAACAACATATTTCACAAGCTACTAAAAACTGCACCTGCACTTTTAACGGACCAGATGTCACACCACTTCACCTTTCCTGTTGGTAATTACCCACCGACTATCATTTGTAGCATTATCTGTTTTTGAAAATAATATCTTTTTTTAAAGAAAAGATTGACATTTCATTTTTAGAACATATTATTTAGAACAACTGGATAAAGTCCCATCATTCAGTTAGATTCTGAGCTGCTGTGCTGAGGAAATCACACAGAATTAGGTCCAAAATTCAAAAATTGATAATGGTTATTGGATCACATTCTTAGTCTTCTTTTCTCCAGGCTAAAGATACCCACCCCCTAACTATTATTGACTTCTGCACCTCCACATTTGTGGGTTTCACTTTTGTGGATTTGATTATTTACATATTGAATTTATATATTCTTTTGAGGAATCTCTAAATCCTCCTGCAACTCTATGCTCAACACATAGTTGCACTGGAGTACCTAGAATTCAGCCATATATCTGCAGCATTCCTCTCAGCTACCAAACATGTAAGTATATAAAAAAGGGCAACAGAGTGCCTTCAGAAAAAGAACAAAGGGTGTTGGCACTGGAAACATGGGTTAGGTACTACAGCAGATTAGGGATAAGGCTAAGAAAGGATCACAGGATCTTGGCAATGAAATGAGCTTCTGGTGAATCTTACAATTTAGGTGAATGCTCCAAATTCGATGGAGGTAAAAAAAATAGGCCTGCAATAATTTGTAGTTAATTTGAAGGCACATATAAACAACAGAAATACCAAGGACCTATTGGTTCTGAAGCTGCACTCAGGTGAAGCAGAACAAAGAGAACAATGGATTGACTGTAGAGAGTGAAAGGAAAACCTTGGAGAAATTCTTTACTCTTTGAATTAAACTTAGCTTGTTCTCCAGCAGGGGTCCTCAAACTTTTTAAAGAGAGGGCCAGGTCACAGTCCCTCAAACTGTTGGAGGACCGGATTATAATTTGAAAAAACAAACAAACCATGAATGAATTCCTATGCACACTGCACATATTTGTAGTGCAAAAAACAATACAATAATTAAAACAAAGAACAATTTCAACAAATATTAGTATTTCAGTGGGAAGTGTGGGCCTGCTTTCGGCTGACGAGATAGGATTGTTATTGTTGTTGTGTGCTTTCAAGTCGTTTCAGACTTAGGTTGACCCTGAGCGAGGGCCGGGTAAATGACCTTGGAGGGCCGTATCTGGGCCCCAGGCCTTAGTTTGAGGACCCCTGTTCTACAGTATGTTGTGAAATACAAAATAAAGGCCCATTTAAAGGAATGGCTGGCTGATATCTAAGTTCCCTGAATTGTCTGGTGGTTACAAACACTTTGGGATTGGAACATATTTCCAGCCAAAGCCTTGCATTTGTTGACCTGCAAGTAAAATCACAACTGTGGAGTTTCAGTTATGACCTATAAAGTCCTGTATGATTTATAAGT